TCTTTACTCATGCCCCAAGCCTTGTTCTCCCCCCCCCCCCCTGTTGGAATTAGTACATTCCAATGTGTCTCTAATGCAAATCACCATGCTTTATCTGTTAATCAATAGTAACATAGTATGCTCACGTGATGCATGTGACTCCCTCTACACTCCTCCACTGAACCCTCACTTTAAAGTTTGGCAGAAGGTGTGAGCACTGGACAAGTGGGGAGGAAGGGTGGGAAGTGTGAGTAGAGGTGCCAACTTGGTGATTAATATGAGCCACTACTGTTGAATTGAGGAATGGATCATAATCAGACAATCTCTGGAGATGGGAAGAAGGTGATCCAAAGTCCGACAAACAGCAAGGAGTTCAAGGATGTTGATATGAAGAGAATGGTTCCCCACAGACCAATGACTCAAAGCCTTCTGGTGATCGACCCACGCACCCCAGCCCTGAAGGGATGAATCAATGAACAGATGTAATTTTGACTGTGGAGACGGAAGTGGAACACCCACTGATGTCTGAGCCTTGTCCAACCACCATCAGAGATCATCCACAATGTAGGAATGAAGGGTAGGAGTATCAAAGGGATCCTGCCCCATTGAAGGGATTGCATATGAGCCTGGTTGAGGGGTATGAGGGGAGTCATAGAAGACCACATACCCAAAAGTGATAGAACCTTGCAAGAAGAAAGTGAAGGAGCAGACAGGGTGTTCCGACTGACCAGTTCCATAGACCAGAGCCAGAGAGGAGAAGGTAGGGCCCGACTGAGATGGGTGTTAAAGCAAACACCCAGATGAAAATGATACTGGGTAAAATGAAGGAAGGACTTCTCCAATTTGATCAACCAGCTCGCCCGAGCAGCTTTGAGAAGGAGCTGATGAGTAACAGGCCAACTCCCATTCAGAATGGGTGAGAAGAAGCCAGTCATCCATGTAAAAGTGAAAGAGCTACCCCAGGGCATGAAGATGTAGAGCAAAGGTTCACACCACCTAACAGAAAACATATGGTGCCAAAGATCACCTCAAAGGGTAGGGTATGAAATTGGTACACCCCCTCATGATGGACAAACTGAAGATAAGGATGAGAATGCTCCAATATGGAAATATGCAGATAAGCATCTTGGTCTTTTAAAGACCTAGAGAAAAAGCCCACTGAAGATTAAGGTAGGATTCCATGGTGATGTGTGGGGTGCGAACATATTGACTCAGACGGGACAGGTTGAAGAACAGCCTCCAGTCCCCTGTCTTTTTAGGAACTACAAACAGGTGGGAGTAAAACCTCTCCTGAACCTGTGGAACAGGTTTGATAGCCTGTTATGTGAGGAGGTCTTGCACTGCCTTGGATATACACTGGCATGACAAGGGATCCCGAGGAGGAGGAAAGGAAGTAGGCATGCAGAACAAGGGAGGAAGGGTAAGAAAAGGAATGACAAATCTCTCTAACAAAAGGCAGTGAACCCAAACATTGGAGATGAAAGGGCTCCACCAATGAACGAAGGTCACCTAACGAGCTCCCACCAGAACCAAACCCACTAGGTAGTCACTGAAACTGTAGTTGGCATACCAAGCGTCGTCGTGAAAAACGATGTACAGTAGCACCACAGGAAGGATGAACAGGCAAGGGCTGGGACACTTGGCTCTGATTGGGACAAATGAGCCACCAGATGATAAAGGGTGGATTGTTGTTGGACCAAACTACCCTTGACCCCAAAGACTCCAGGATTGTGTTAAACACAAAATGTCCCCAAAAAACTGGACCATCCAAAGGTCCCATAGATAAGAAGCCGGGAGATGGGACCATGACAATATGGCATTTTGACCCAAAAAGTCCCAACAACAAATAAACCATAGGACCAGAGCTGAAGATGACAACTAGACCAACATGGAAGTAAGGAAGGAGAGGACTACCCCAGAAAACCCCTCAGGGTACCTGTAAAAATCCTCAGACAGGAAATGGATTGAGGAGATGTACCACAAAAGAGTTGTCAGGACAAGACAAAGATGGGAATACTGGGAATTGGTAAGATTAATGGGAGATTTGGGCCCCCCCCAAAAAAAAACAGGAAAAAACTGAATCCAACAGTTGTTGGTCCAAATATGGACAGTCTGTTCTATGTTAAGTGAGGGCGGACTGATCCGAAGCCCATAGGAGACAAAGCATACTAACGCTGTCACCTAACTGAGAGGCAAAATGCTCAGTGTGAACCCAAATATCAGGGGATGGGGGAATTAAATAAGGTTGGAAAGCAGAATCATGTAAGAGGGAAGGACGTGGATCATAAGAAATAGGAGCAATAGACAAAACATCACACATCTGTAAAAAAGTAGAATCCTCAGGTACGGTCTGGGAAGGCACGGCGAACTTAGAGAGTAGGGAAAACGATCAAAATCCTTATCATCCTGGCCAGGCTTATGAAAGGCTCAGGAGAAATAGGGGCAACAGCAGGAGACGAAGGTTGTCCCATATAATGTTTAATTTCCCTACGAACAAAGGCTGATAAATCTCCTGATGGGTCACCGCACCTGTGGCCTGAATTATGGCATCAGATGAATCATATGTACCCGAAGTGGTAATATTAACTTCGGAATTCATGCTTGATACCAATCAAACAAGGGAAATTTTTTGCTGCAAAACACGGGTAAATCAAACACTTTTGAAAATAAAGTGGAAAAAAATTCTTAAAAGAGAGTAAATTGAAGTTAAACCATTTTGAGAAATAATGAACAAAAAGCAAAACATCTGAACTCAAGCATTGCTAAACGAAAAGTGAGGGTTCGGTAGAGGAAGTCACCTGCATCACATGAGCATATTATGCTACTATTGGTTAATAGATGAAGCATGATAATTTGCATGAGAGACATGTTGGAATGTACTAATTACAACAAGGGGGGAGTGCAAGACTTGTGGCATACTTAAAGAAAATATTTGCATATAGAGGGCAGCATTGAACAAGAATAACTAATCTTGTGAGAAGTGGTAACTACTGTATTGGAAAAAACCAGCACGTCTGTACAGTATTACTGCCAATTGAGAAGTTATTAATGAGTGCAAATGTGAAGAGGGTGCTGGTTATGATAGGAGTTTTGTGACGTTCCTACTGGTGAAGAGCTGCTGCATGATAATTGTTTATGTGGATATACAGATGTGGGAGGTGGAAGGCTAGTCGCAAGCATTGAAAATTTATGCCAATAGAGGGCAGTACTAATTTAGAAAAGGTTTGGTTTGTGTGAGAAGAGGTAAGATATCTTTTTGGAATACTGTGTTCAGTCTTGGGCTCCTTACCTCAGGAAGAACACTGAATTGTTGGAAAGGGTTCAGAGGAGGGCTACTAGGATGACACCTGGGATGAAAATGTTATCATATGAAGATAAGTTAAGATCTATGAACTTATTTTCTCTTGGAAAAAGAAGAGTTAGAGAGGATCTTACTGGGGTGTTTAAGATTATTAAGGGAATTGATAGTGTTGATGCGTCATCTTTTTTCATATTTAATGCTGAGAATAGTAAGACTAAGGGACACAAATATAAATTTTGGCAGGGATGAAGTCATTTTCAGTTAAGCCAGCTTTATTCTTCTAACAGGGTGGTTGGCCTTTCGATGTGGTGGATGCAGTTAATTTAAGGGAATTAATGAAAAAGCTTGATAAATATTTGAATGATAAGGGATGGCTTTGACTTATTTTTAAAAACGTTTTTAGTTTAATTTAGTGGATAGGACAGCGTTGGATATACAAGACTGTTCAGTGTAAGCATTATTATTTAGTTTATTTTGTGACTTAATATTTAATGATTGTTTACTTCTCATGACATGGGTGTTGAAGGTTGATTGTTTTAAAAGCATTAGTTGTGATAAGTTTTGTTACATAACTCTGTATGAGTCGTATGTTGTGTATGCAGTTAGATAGTTGTACTAGGCTTTAGTTAAATTGTTGATATCACATTACTCGATTTTTGGTTTTTTTTTTCATTACCTTAAGTGAGTATTGTTCCATTAAAGCACTGTATATTTTATAGAAAGTTTGAAGCCGCCGTGAACAAGGTATATATATAGGCGACTAGCGAGCCCAAGTTAAATAGAGAAAAGAAAACAAGTTAAGAAAGAGATAGTTAGACAGATCTAGACAGAGTGATTGGCAGTTTAGCTGTAATGGGCAATTTCTAAAGAAGTCAAAAAATGTTAACTTAGTGAAAGTGAAGTTAGACTGTGTGATTGTTAATTTAGCCATAATGGGCAATATTTGAAGTGATTTTCACAATTTAACAGAGATAAGGAAAATAATTTGTCTTGTCAAAGTGTGTTCTAAAGTAGTTTAACCTGTCTGTATGGACTTTGATGAAAAGGAGACAATTATTTAAAGTTGAGATACAACTGTGGTAAGTCATGGAGTAATGTAAGTGAATCTATCAGAGATTGCATAGTAAGAAACAGAGTAGAGAAAAATAATTTTTGTCAATTGGATTCTAAAGTAATTGAGTCAGTCTGTGTGGACTTTTAACAAGAAAGAGAATTATTTAGAGTTTTAGATACAATTGTGATATCCAAAAGTATAAAGAGTTTTTGTACATATGTTTGACTTGTTTTGAATATATTATATATATTATATATTCGAGGGGTTAGAAACATTGAATTTAAAATGTATAAAACAGTTCCTTAAAAAACATCCTGAGGTCAAAATGTCATAATTATAAAACTATTGTTTCCACTTATAGTATACTTTTCAAAAATGCATAAACACTATATTTATGAAAGTTTACATTAATTGTATAGAAACATGAAATTGATTAATGGAGCAAAATAATTAAAGCTACATATACTGTCACTCTAATGAAAAGGAAAAAAAAAAAGAGTTAAAGGAAATATAATCACTGATCCTATGAGAGACATTATTTCCAAATTTTGAAAATTTAAAATATAATAATTTAATATGTACACACATCACACTTCTATTATAAACTTTCCTATTTAAAACTAAATAGGCATCAATTCTTTACTATCCACTATCCTAAACACATACTCTGTTTGTAAGTTATATTTGAGAACCTCCTCTTCAGTATAATTTTGAATTTCTTCAATACCACCTCCCACAATTTTGATGGTATATTTTCCTGTAAACCTTTCAACTTTCCCAATAGACTCATCAGTCAAGAGAAACAGTGGAGAGAATTCTGAAAGACATAAATCAAATAAATGTTGATAAAATCAAAAGAGTTTTAATTCATTACATACCAGTCTTCAAAACAAGTAGTGACAATTGTGATAACTTAAACATTTTACAATAGTTGCTTCAAATTTTTAAACAAAAACTAAAACCTATAAACATGTTTCATATGCTCAAGTCAAAAGTCAGATGATTTTCTCTAAATAAATTGCATTTTTACTGTGAAGATAATTAAAAATTGTACAAATTAATAACTGATTTTCTATCAGAAAATAATATGGAAATGCATTTATTAGAAGCTTCTTTTTTTTCAGTTAGCAACAACATTATTTTGGGCAACAAGCCACATGTTCTACTTTTATGGATAGCATGCAAGTGTTGTTTCTTTCAATGTATATCACAATGAACAACATAAAACTTTGTTGGTATATGTATTGAAGGTTTAGGATATATGATCAATTTTAAATTGTACAAAAATTCAATTATTATTTTTTAATGCAAAAAAATATTAATTTGCACAAAGACCATACCTTTAAATCAATATAATCCAATATTCTTGTATTACATATTCAATTATTAATAAGAACTGAGTGAAAGGAAGCAAACTCCTCTCGATAAAATTGTTATATTCTTGAATTTATGGTGTTCAGAGATTGAATATGTACCTAATAATGTATGAAAATGGTAATTAATGTGTAATTACAGAAGAATAACATCTTTGACTCACATAAGTGTTTTATATTTGTAATATATCTCAGTGGGTGGCTTTATTTAGTATTATTTGAGATATCTATGAAGTCACCAACATATTTTAGGCCATGGAAGTTATCTATTAACAGGGTTGTCATATTGACAAAATATGAAAAGAACTAAGTGGTTGATATTTAAGTTGAGTTGAATATTGAGAGAGATTCAATAAGTTATTATTCAAAATTTAAGTTTTAAACCTGTTTAGATTTATGTATCCATCACATTATTAATTAGCAGTAATCAGCTGCATTAAGGATAATAAAACAATTATTTTGTCACTGTTAAACATACATTTGTTGTGCCAGTCAAAAGTGTCATAGACTGAGGAAATCCACATGACAGGGAATATAATAACAGTCAAAATTTCCTTTAACTTTGATTGCTAAAGGAGTTCTTAGTAAAGCTTTAATTAGGACAGTTCATTTGCAATATTTTCTTAGCCATGATACTCTTTTAAGTCATTTAGCTTAGGTTTCTATATTGTTTTCACTAGTTGCTATGATAAATGTGCAACTCTACTGTTCAAATGTTGTTAAATGACATATTTATGCAAGTTTCCCTTCTAACCATTACTGTATTTCCAAACATTCTCTATTTTATATATCTTGCAAAGTCTTGTTGAGAAAGGAAAGAGCTGGGGTGTTTAACTCTTTGTTTTAGGTCTAGGAATAATTTGTATGTTTATAGTTAAGCACAAAGCTACACAATGGTCAATCTGCACTGTGCCCACCATAAGCATTGAAACCCTGTTTTTAGCAGTATAACTCTGCAGACATAATGTTGAGACACCCTAAAATGTAAGACTGATAAAGTTTACATTAGAGAATTAGCTTTGCCAATAAGATAATTTTCTGCAAGGAGTTGTCAATATTAAAACTCGCCTAGTGAGCTTTTTCTTAAACTGCATTTTAATGCACTTTTGTTATCTTCATCAGATGAAGATGCACATAAATGCATCAAAACATAACCAGAGAAATCACTCTAGGCAGATTGTGCATTTCAACAACTCTGTGCCTGCTAAATGATTTTCAAACTAAATAATTTTCTGTTGTTTTGTTGGTATTTCCTTGCAACATATCAACACTCTGTAAATGTGAAATAGTGATAATGTTCAATACTTTGATTCCATCTTACACCAAAAGCTATTTTACTTTCAAAATTTCTTTACTTATAGGTTCAGTACTTGGCTTAATTTAATGCAAAGGAACACTCAAACAATACAGAATGACATCACAATATGGATCCAATTAAAACTATATTTGTCCTTTCACAACATAATTACTATCACATTAGCCCCTTTAATATTATTTTTTATTAACAAAAGCATAAAAATAAAATACAGTAAATTGCCTTTTGCAAAGTAAAAGCATGGCCTGTTTGGTATGGCATCTATACAATCAAATTTTTGTCCACTTCGAAACTTGACTAGATTATATGTTGCCTGCCAATCAAAGACTAACTTGTATGAAGGAGGACAGCCTAGCATCATCAACAAATGGTATCTTCCCTATAAAAGATAAAAACAAAAGATCACATAAAAGAATTCTCTGTTACATTTAGTGTATAGTGCACTAAAAATGTTTAAACTACACTTCATTTATAAAAATATTCTATACATCATAACAATGCCTTATTTATCAACTATAATAGCAGAGAATTTGTAGCTTCTCAGATGCATAAAACAAAATCTACAAATCATGATTACAGAAATTACATCATAACTATAATCTTTTTTTCCCTCTTACTTACAGTTAAATTTTATATTTACCACAACTTAATCTATCACACACTCAGGTATGATCACCTGGTAATAACAGACATGTTTTTCAGCAGCAATAATTAGTTCATTTTGAAAAAGAGATAAAATTATTAAAATAAAATCTAGGTATTAATGATGAAAACAAATATATATATAGGCTAAAATTCATAAAAACAAATTAAAACCTGACTAAATTAGTTACATTTTCTATAACCAACATTGTTAATGCCTCAGCATTTAGCTAATGTCAGATTGATATTGTTATGGCAACTAGGGAACATGCATGCTGGAGTTTCTTGAAGGATCATGAATGTACCCACCAGCTCGAATGTAATTTAGATGCCCTCTTTTTTAGTATATATAAACCTGGCAAAGAAAGCCAGCAGTAGATAGATAATTGAGTCAAGCAAACAGTAGGCACTGTAAGTAAAGTGTGTGAATCACTGTGATTTATAGCATGTGTTATAAAAGTTAAGTTTAGAGTGATGAGATATGTACTGACTGTGAAATTACTGTGTATTAAAAGTTTGTATCGAGGAAGAATAAACTAGTTTAATCAAGAAAGGACTTGTATTGCTGAAGTTTCTCGGAAAGAATTTATACTAGAAATTAACAAACAAGCAGATATGAAATAATATTTATTTACATGGTCAGGCATATATATCTTCTGTCTTAGGAAGAGAAAGTTAGAATAACAAAATAAAGTTTAAATTTGATGACAAGGAACCCACTTTTTAGGTTCAATTTTAAAAATGTCTCTAACTTTAGAAACACATTAGACCAACTAAATCCTAAAGCATTAATGGCTAGCTTTGACATTGTGGCACTTGTTACCGAAGTTCCCGTCAAAGTAGCTTGTAATATTGAACTTGACCTCTACTGTGTGATCCCAATCCTTTAATTCATATCCCCAATGCACTTTTTTTTTTCCTCTTAGAATTCACAAAAATAAAAACCAAATTCATTTTCAATAACAAAACTTTTCTCACTAACATATTTAGAACCCAGGTCGAAACACAAACCATACAATTTGCACTTTATCCTCCCCTATACTGGTACAGAAATGTAGACAACACTTCTGCTGGTATCACTTCTACCAAACATATAAACACTTTTTTTGAACATATAAACTCCATTCACCCTAACATTAAATTCACCATTGAACACAAAAATAACAAACAGCTATTTTTTCTTAACGTCAACATAATTAGACCTGACACACAGTTCAAAACCAAAATTCACTGAAAAGTCACTCACACAGGCCTCTACATCCACTGAAATTCTATCCATGAATCCAAACAATAATCTTATAGACATAGCTTCACAACATTGATCAACTTACTACACAGATGAAGAAATTAACTCTATAAATCATTCCTTCATTCACACCAACAAATTTCCACTAACCTTTGTCAAAAAATTTCCACATAACCATCAGAACAAAAACCTAAAAACTCAGCTCACAAACAAAACTGACACTAATACACCAAAAAACAACACAACATTACACAGCAATTTACCATTTATCCTTGAAATTGGTTTAAAGATAATCAACATTTTGAGAAAACTTGCCATTAAACATAAAATTCCTGTTGACTTCAAATTCACCCAAAAACTTAGCTCTAAACTAAAATCATTATTAAATAAAAATTATATAAAATCACACAATACCAAACGTCATTTATAAAATAAGATGCAATAAATAACTGACCAGAATTCTACATTAGAGAAATTGGAAGAAAGTTGGAAACCTAGTTCACTGGACATAATAAAAAAACTCTCATGTTTAGCACCCTTGCAACTCAAAAAAACCCCAGTATATCTATAGAGAACACTGTAATTTTGAACAAAGAACCAAACATCAATAAATGCAGAATAAAGGAAGCTATCTTAATTGAACAAAACAGCCTCACTCTAAACCAAAATACCTATACTAGGCTGTGAAGCAATATCCAATCATGTGACCTCTTTGTTCCATACTGTATATATATTTATTTGTCTCTTTAAACTACTGGTACCTGAAGATGACATAATCTTGCCAAAATATCATAAAGTTTTCTTCATTACCCACTCAAGCCATCTCCAAACTTTTATAAAAGTTTTTACAGAAGTTTGAGAGAAACTGAAAGAGATCAAATTAATACCAGAATAATACTAATAAAAAAGGCTGGCAAACTAGAAGACTAAAATTATATTATGATAACAAAAGAAAAAAAGAGAGTTATTTAGAGTTTTAGATATAACTGTGAAAAGAATTATTGTACATACGTTTAACTTGTTTTGAATATATTATTTTCAAACGTACTATAAATGAATCGTGGCCCCATCAAACTGACATTTGGTGAGCCAGCCAGGATTATACAGTGTTGAAACAGTGGTAGAAGAAAACGTGAAAAACAGCAGAAGCAGGCCTATATACACATAACTGTAAGGGTGGAAAAAATGGTGTAGAGATTACAATCATGCTATAAAACCATGTCAACATATTTTGATAAAAGGATAGAAAGAGGTGAGCTTCTTGGGCTCAAAGATGGCAAACAAACTATGAGAGTTTGTTAAACAACAACAAAAACCTAAAGAGAGAAAAGTGTAAAGGAAGAAGTCAGGAAGAATGACTTAAAGAAGAAAAGGAAGTAGAGAGAGAGAGAATAAGAGCTCAAATTGAGAAAGAAGAAAAGTAGCACCAAAAGACATGGGCAAGATGATCAAGTTGGCAGAATAGTACATGGAAGTCCATGTTGAGAGCATAACTGGCCTGTCTAAGAATAACCAGTTAAAGTCAAAACCAGTGGTGGCTGACCAAAAGCAGAAGTCCACCAAAGGTAACAGGAGGTTAACAGACAAATGGGAGAAGAAATGCTATACTTGTTGTAAAATAGGGCACATTGCAAAGTAATGCAAGTCTGTCACCAACAAGCAACAGCAAAAATTACAGCAGCTGGAGCTACTTATAAAGTTAGTGCTGGCAAGAAACAAGAAAAGAGTGACTGTCACCATGGATGCTGCTGCTAGAAGAAACAGAATAGAGATAACCCATCAGATTCAAAACGAGAAGGAAGTGCTATCTCCATGATTAATCAGTGCACCACTGATGGTCAGTTCAAGTTAGCAAATGGATAAAAAGTGCCAGTAGTATTTGGAGCATGTTACAAATATCGAGAGGTGCCAACAAATCACAACATGCAAATAAAGAAAACCACCTTTACCAGTTTCAAAAACCTTTCGCCCTCATGGTTTGACTCTAGCATTTCCAAATCTATATGCCTGAAATTAAAATCACCCATAATTATGACTTCATTAACAGCTGAAATATTAATCTCATTGTAAAGTTTCTCACTAATTTCATCAGTATCATATGGTGGTCTGTAATAGATTCCCATTAAAAGCCTTTTCTCTTTATATCCACTAATATAAAACCAAATGGATTCAATTTCCTTACTATTATCTTTAATATTCTGAACTTCAACAGGATGTAACTCACATTTTACATATAAAACCACTTCTCTCTTTAGTACTCTATCCCTATTAAATAGCCTGTAACCCTATATTTCAAAGAAATTTCTGTCATCAAAATCATCTATGTTTAACCATGTTATTCCCATTATATCAAAATCCTGCATTCCTACCAGTGCTCTAAAGTCATCTATTTTATTTCTTATACTTCTAGCATTACAATAATAACAATTAAGCTTACTCTTATAAGTACTTCTATACTCATTTCCTATCAAAACTTTTCTCTGCTTCTTATTGTTTTTGCATTTAGTTTATCCTGGCCCTCACCACTGTCTAACCTTAGTTTAAAACCTCTCTTACAACCGAGTAAATAGCCCTAGCAAACAAGCCATCCCTTATCCTATATAAATGCAAACCATCCATTGCAACAAAAAGGCTCCTTTCTTTCATTAAACTGATCCCACGAGTCTAACCAGCCAATCTGCTTAATATTAGATACTAACCTAAGCCTAGCATTTAGCCCTAGTGACCTACTTATAACTTCATCCTCACAGTTAATTACGTTATGGCCATTTTCTTTAAATGACTTTATCAACCCCTTGTACTTATTACTTAGCTCCTCTGATGTACCTTTCTCTATATCATTAGCCCTACGTGCACAACAAAAGCTGCATCTCTGCTAGCACCCTTTATTATATACACTTATTTCTATATATGACATGAATAATCAATCGAAAGCTCAGAATGTCCCCTAGTGGCTTTGTCAGCCATTTTAAAATCTTAGGACATTATCCATTTCTTTCGAACTGAGATTTCAAGGAGGTAGGTTGTGTCTTTAGTCTGCTCGAAATTTCATATTTTTTTAGACTGAATTGCAGCTTAGTTACTAAGCTTGATAAATTATAATGGAATTCTATGGTGTTGATGTAGTAATTCATGATTTTTTAGTTATTCAAATTTATATAAAACCTAAAATATATCCTCCACGTGCAAAATTTTTAAAGGCTTAGCAACCTACATCAAGCAGCAACTGAGTACAAAGGTTTATACACCTCATTAGCCAATATCTTCCTAATTCAACTAAAGAGGAAGGCTTTCAACACAGCCATGCATGCTAATGTACACTGAATGAGGCATGTTATATTTTTCGTGACTTTAACACATCAACAACACTCATACCATCATTCACTTCACCACTGAATATAAAGAAAATTTCTCCATAAAAGTTTTGAATGATAACATTAAAAAATCAACTAGATCAGTTATCTGTTTATAGGAAACCAATAAACTCAGAAATCTGCATACTATCCATATCTAAAACTTGGAACCCTAGAATGTATAATTCAAATTGCTCTTGATATATGCACCATCAACAATTCAAACAGTGAAGTAAAGAGAACATCAATGAATACAAAACTAAGAAGCCATGAGATATTCAATTGACCAAGAAACATAACAGAACAAACAAAACTCTATCACAACTAACATCTTTTTTTATTGAAAATGACAGCAGCAACAATCTGTTAGGGTTATGAAGACACCTCATCAAAAAACACAATATTAACATAATCTCATTAACCACAAAAAAACATAAATATAAATAAATAACACCTGGGAAGAAGTTATTCCAAATAAAAGGACATCAAAGTTATAGTATATTAGATCATGTATGATTTTGGCAATAAAGTTAGAAAAACAGTATCTTTACTCTACAGATAATAATAAAACAAACTTATAATTTCAGCTAATTATTTGTCATTGTGGATTCATCAGGGCTAGTTGTGCAAGAGTTATTTGATGCAAAAATATATATTAACATTTTACACTGCTTTTGGTGACCAAGAATTTTATTTAGGTGAAACTGGAAGAGTACTAAACACAATAACCAAATAATACTTAAATGACCATCCTATGTTTTTGAACATTTAAAAAAAACCAAACATACATATCTGAAACAACATTAAAACTGTACTAGTGAAAATGATACAAAAAGAAGAAAAAGCAAAGAACGTATACTGAACAAAAAATTAAAACATCTTTTGAATACGTATCTTGGAACTCCTTTCTATCTCTACTAATTATAATCCATATAATTGTACACTAAATGTTTTATACTGGTAGATAATTATATTGCTACTTATGTTAAATACTTGTAATTCAACATGTGCACTGCCAAGAATAACCTTTACACTTTGAATCTGTAACTGTTGTTAATCACACATTGCTTGAAAATGAAATGAAATGAAACCAAAAATTGCTCAAAAAATGAGAAAGAATAGTGAGTGTGGTAAAATTTCAATTACCTGAACTCCACATGATCTAATTTTTTTCTTCAAACTATATTTATAAACTATATGATAACTTTTCATAACACACTAAGTATTCCTTAAATATTAATGATATGCTAATTACCTGTGGCATTAAGTCACTGTTCGTAACATCAAAACAATGGAGCCCTGAATCCCAAATTCTAAAGGTGATGTCTACAGGATGCAGATTAACACCAGGGACAAACTGACCAACAACATTACCTAGACTTCTAACCTCTACCTAAAGAATAAAGAAAGAATGCCATTTTTTCATTCAGTCTTATAAATACACATTCATGTATAGAACAAAATATGTGTATAAATATTCATGCACCATTGAAGTGAAACTCATAAAATACACCATATATATTCACAAATGGATAAATGAATATATATACAATATGATTGCCAGTATATGCACAATAACAACTTGAATAATTTAAACACAAATGAAGTTTCTTTTCATCTGCACTTTAGATAACTATATTTTGACAACCATGCAAACCTCTAAATAAGAAATGACTTTAACTAAAATTTTATTTTAAAATTATTATTGTTTACTTACTCATAACAGTTAAGACTTCAAGATTTTTTGATACATTTAAAATTTTTTTTTGTTATATTTTAGTTTAATCTTCTTTCTTACAAACAAAATATCAGATCAGGAAACCATGTTTTTGCAATTCTATCTGTTTTATCCTGTGACGTATAGTAACTGTACTGTTACAGCTCCGTTTGTTAATTAACTTTCCGTAACTTCGTTCTGACGAAACTTTAGCGACATAAGTCCTTACTTAATAAAACTGGTTTATTCTTTCCGAATATAACTTTACGATACACTTATTTTCAACAATCGCGCTAAAACAAACGCTACATCAACGAACGTCAATAATACTTCTGACTGCAGTTCAATTACTCACTATCTACACACA